GGGCAAGGTCTTGAGCTTGTGGTCGTGCTGCAGCTTCATGCTTTTTCTGGAGGAAGTGGATTAGCTGGGCCTGTTACAAGCTGGTTTCCAGCCTGGTTTTGAAACGAAAACTGCCTTGGTTGCCCTGGCTGATGATCTGCTCTGGGAGAGAGTCGGGGATGTATCCCTATATGAAACTTCAGGACCTCTCAGCAGGTGAGATGGAGACAGGGGCAGTGCACTTAGTTGATTCTGTCCTTGTCTTGACAACCAATATCAGAAGGTGGTGCTGGGGGATAATTGCTTGGGTATCTTGCAGATCTTCTTCGTGGTCTCTGTGCATCACACCCTTGGGATACTCTGCGCCTGCGCTGACCTTCTCGGTACCGATAGCTAGCAAAAGGGATTTTCGCGCCTCTCCCAGGTCACGCGCCGGCTCCACTGCGCATGACCAAGGAGGGGCACGCAGATCCCGCCAGTTCTCTTCTGACCGCCGCGCTGGTAGGACGCCTTCTGCCTCGGTCTGCTAAGTACCAACTTTTTTTGCTAAACTTGCGTTTAGTTAGTTTCTCTTTCTTTATTTTTGTAGTTAGCATTTTTCTTTCAGTGTTTATTCTTTATTTTCGTTCCCCTCCCGCTGGCCTATGGCCCCGCGGTGGGGTTGTTTCAAACGGTGTAGGACTTGCGGCCTTAAAATATCCCCCACCGACGGGCACTCGCTTTGCCTCGTTTGTTTAGGGGAGTCGCACTGTGTCTCTAAGTGCAGACATTGCCGAAAGTTTTCGAACCAGACGAGAAAAAACAGGGCAGCTCGTCTACACTTGGCCCTGATGGAGAAGGCACTATCTCCACAGTCCTCTTCACCGTTGGACACGTCCGGGCACGCCTCGATGTCCACCTTGGCTGCGGACACTTGTCCTCCCGTTCCGGGATCATCGACGTCGAATTTAGGTATCAAAGGTATCAAAATGAGTGCACTGTAATTGCTGGCTCTAAATTTCTTCCCTGGATAGGTGTGCATAAGCACTTTGGTGGCTTATCTGTGTTTCTTTTTCATACAATGCAATTTGTATGGATTTATATTAATCTCATGCTGGCTTTAAGATTCAAGCAAAGCAAGAACTTTTGTTTCCCATAAATATTTTTACAACTGGTCTACACAGCAAGGGGGGGAAAGCTGCTATCTTCTGTCTGGTAAAAGCAAATTAATTACACACACACACAGAGACACACACAAAGAAAGTGGTTTTATTTCCAGTGGTGGCAGCAAAGTTTTTAATCAATACTACTGTCTTTTGTTGTCTGGATATGTCATAGCGCCATAATTATCTATTGCAACTCCTTAATTTTGTTACTTACCACTTTGTTTTGTTATAGACTGTTTCAGTATGATATTAAATGCTCTGGATTTAGTGGTGCTATCCAAACACGCCTGGCTGTTATGCACAGTCAGGATGGAATTCAGTGTTGCGGGAGATATGGGGCTGCTCCTGAAAGAAAACAATATCCCTGTGTCAAGTTTCCCTTGCTCAGAACTTGAAGCATTACTTATCCCACATTGCGGTGTAAAGATAATTTTACATTAATTTGTTTTTAAGGGAATTAATAATTCTGCTTGCCTGGAAGGCTGTGACAGTGGCCGCGAAGCCTCTTTTGAAGAAGCCCTCTGTCTTGAATGATCTGTCATCCAGTTCTCGGGCAAGGTCTTGAGCTTGTGGTCGTGCTGCAGCTTCATGCTTTTTCTGGAGGAAGTGGATTAGCTGGGCCTGTTACAAGCTGGTTTCCAGCCTGGTTTTGAAACGAAAACTGCCTTGGTTGCCCTGGCTGATGATCTGCTCTGGGAGAGAGTCGGGGATGTATCCCTATATGAAACTTCAGGACCTCTCAGCAGGTGAGATGGAGACAGGGGCAATGCACTTAAGTTGATTCTGTCCTTGTCTTGACAACCAGTATCAGAAGGTGGTGCTGGGGGATAATTGCTTGGGTATCTTGCAGCTACACTGTGGGGTCCCATCAGATCTTATTTAATCATGCAGTTTAACATCCATATGAAACCTTTGAGAAAGATTGTCCAAGGATTTGGAGTGAGGATAATCAGTTTGCTGATGACACCCAGCTCTGTTTCTCCTTTCCTGCTAGTTCAGTGATACTTTGACTACACTGTGGGGTCCCATCAGATCTTATTTAATCATGCAGTTTAACATCCATATGAAACCCTTGAGAAAGATTGTCCAAGGATTTGGAGTGAGGATAATCAGTTTGCTGATGACACCCAGCTCTGTTTCTCCTTTCCTGCTAGTTCAGTGATACTTTGAACTGTGCTTTGAACGTGATGATGGTGTGGTTGGGGGCCAAAAGCTAACTAAAGCTTAATTCCAACCAGATTGCACTGTTGGTTGGCGATGTTGCCAACAAGGATTAAGAAATCAGGCTCTTCTGGATGGGAGTTGCAATCCCCTTGGAAGGGCAGGTTTGAAGCCTGGGAGGTACTGTTTCATACTGATGGAGGACCAAGTCTGTTGCATGTAGTGCCTTTGCTCAACTTTGATTGTGCACAAGCTTCACCCTTTCCCTAAGAAGCATAATTTGGTTATGACTGTTCCTGCTCTGGTCAACTCTGGATTGGACTCTTACAATGTGCCCTGCATTTAAAGGCTATTCGGAAGACACAAATGCTGCAAAATTCAGCCAGAAGGCCATTGAATGCCACAAAATATTAGGAAAATATCCTATCACTTTGAAAGAAACTGCATTAGCTGCCTATTTATTTCTGGGCACAATTGAAAATACAGGTATTTGGGAAGCAGGGTACTTCAGGGAGCAACTGGTCTTGCATGTACCTGCCCATCAGTTAAGATGTTCAACAGAAGCCCTACTCTGTGTCCTCAACTTCAGAGGCAAGGCCTTCTCAGTGGTGGTCCCTTGCTTAGTGGTGGTCCCACCTGCAGTTGCTCACCCAATGCCTGGTTTGATTAAATTTAGATGCCAGGTGGAAACTTCTTTATTCATCTCGGCTGTGGGCTGATTTTTGTTTTCCTTGTCAATGCCTGAGCTAGAATCCATTAACTTTGTTGCTGTGTGATTGTATGATATTTTAATGATTTTAATGTTTTATTGTATCATTGATTTTAATGTCTTATATGTTCGTTGTGAATTATTCTTGCTCTGAAATGCCATATGATTTAGAGGATGTGGGTATATATATATTTTTACTTTGGTTCCAAGTTCTTGGCTGTGGCTGTTGCAGGGCACAAGATCATGATTTCTTCATATAGGGTGACACTGGGGGTGGCGGTCAGAGAACTGGACACAGGGAGGCCATTTTCTCTGGAAGCTCTGTGTTTCCAGTAATGCGTCATTCTATTCTCAGAAGAGTAGCAATTCAGGGAAGAAGAAATAGTCTTGGGAAAGATGGGATTTGCCTCGTTCTTGCAGATTGTCCCAGTCCAGTCTCTCTTGCCTGGGACTGTTGTGAAATTCCTTGTGTTCTAAGATGGTAGAATTCACATAGGTCTCAGATGTCACCAAAGAAGTGCTGCTATCCACATGCATAATTATGTCCACCTCCTGGCTTGTAGTATTGCAGTGAGAAGTTGCACAAGGGCACTGTGCAGACTACAAGTTCTGCTTCAAACATGGCAAGAAGTACTGGCAACCAAATACCAAAATGTCTGGGCTCTTTTTTTCTGTAGCAAGTCTTGAAGATGCTCTCAGCTGTCTTGAGGAGTTTGCATTAAAATGTGAAGCCAGGTTCATCTCAAGGGAGTCATTGTTCAGGATTCCACAAATATCCAAGGGGAAGGGGGAGAAAAACTTGAGTTGAGCCCCAGAACTTACATTTCACTCCCCAGTGGTTTGGCAAGGGAATGCCAACTGCTAGCTCATTCTGTAACCCCACGTCTCTTCCCTCTGGTTGTACAGAAAGCATTCTTTTCAGCACCAGAACTTGGAGGTATGGAGGGTGTGTCTGCTTGTCTTCCTGCAACTGCCATCCAAGAATAAAAAGAACCATATACTATCCCTGTTATTTCTATTGGAGACAAGCCACATATTTACTATTGACAAGGGATAAACCAAATGAAACAAAATTGGTATATATACAGATGTACATAGTTAAAGTGGTGAGCCTGTTGTGGAAATGCAGGCAATGCATTTTGCTTAGATGTACAAGTGTCTATCCTGGACCAAAACCAAGTCTGGTGTTTACATCAGAAGCTGACTCTGCAAAACAATGATTGGCTGGAAGCCCGTGGTGTCACTAATCCCTCCTCCTCCCCAGAACAGCTTTTACATGCTTCAAAAAATGGGTCTGCTTTTTTTTAAATGGAAATGGGAGGACTCATATACATTTAATTTTTAAAAAATGTGCATGCAGTGTTTAAAAAATAAATGGCCATGTGAGGCATGGTGAATCAGTGTTTGAGTCAGTTGCCAGAACAAGGCTCAAAAGATGGTACTAGGTGCAGCGTGCTTGAAAGACCTTGAGGTGGTGCCTGGTGAAACATCAGAAGGCAGAATTTTTGGAAAAAGCAATTTGCAGTGGTCCAGGCAGGGGTTCCATTGCTGAAAATAGCTCTTTAGCCTTTCCTTGAGCACTAGAAGCAGAATATGTTTGGTGAAGTAGTAAAAATGTAGAATACACCATGCAACACCTGAGAAATTAAAATGTGTAATGCACACACGCCACAGAACTGCATGTCTCTTGTCACAGGATCTGTTCTTTAGCACCAGATACACATAGTGTACATGTGGTCATGTCGAACCAACAGCAGAGCCAAGAAGAGTCCACTGTTACCTTTGTCCAACAATGCATGCTTGGTTAAGCTTCACGTCAGAACACACCTTCTTCTCCCCCTCGATTCTGTTCCTCATGGTCAGAAAACCACTCCAGGTCGGCAGATATTAAAAGAACAGTTGTTGTTTTATTCTTTTTTTGGTGGGTACAAAAACCACAGTTTCTTACACAGAACAAGATTATAAATAATATCGGTAACATGAGTGACCCGTAGTCTCTTTTGATTCTACACTGCAGACTGATGGTGCTCTCTAAACGTATTTGTTGGTTTCTTGTAGTTAGACAGATGCAAATCCGTGGAACACTGAATGATGGGACAGAATGACGGTAACAGCAAATGAGAGGATGACCAACAATGCTTATAAAAAAAAAGTCTTTGAATTTTATTACAGTGATGGCATCTTATATCAATTATTGCAATGAATCGTTCCCTAAGATGGTTAGAAAAAAGAATTGTGTTGTCCTCTACTGAATTTACATCCGTTAAGAAGCAAGCATGTTTCAAGATTCCTCTTTTTTTTTCTCCCAAAGAAAAAAAGTAATTAATTTCTTTTATTTTTTTTCACAGGATTTACATATTTAATTTCTTATCACAGTTTAGTGACTCGTTTCCACAGTTGGATATTCTTTCCATTGTATAATGTTGATCTTCTGGAGACACAGGTTAGCATGTTCATTGACTTCTAGAGCTATTGGTTCCCCACTTGGTCAAGACAAAGACCAAAAAGATAGTCCTTCCTCATGTACGTTCTTCACAGTTTTTTTTTAATGCGCTAAATTGGCAAGTCTGATTAGTTTTTAAAAGTCCACTCAAAGTGAAATTTGCTGCTGTTAATATTCCTTTCCCAGCCCCTCCTCCTCCTCCCCCCAACAAAACTAAATTATGATTTTTTTTTCCTGATATAAAATCTGAGTTTGGGTTTCCGAGCTGAGCCCATGCACACATTTCTTGCTGATGATGTCTGGCATGTCGGGATGCCCTTCCCCAGACTCAGCCCGTTCCTAAGTTCATCAATGACATTTCCTGTGTCATGTTTTACAGTCCATGCTGTATTCCCCTCAGTCACTGACACAGTTTAATTAAGGCACTCGATTATTTTTTTGGTTTTTATGGTAGGTCTGATGCAATTACCGCCAATCCTGAACTTTGTCTAATTGCAGTTCCTGTGTGTACGGCCTTTGGGCAGTCGGGAGTCAGTACGCGGCCGTTTTCTCCCACGCTGCCTGTGATGGATAATCTGGCTTTGTTTCGTATGGCTTCAGAAAAGGTCAGCTAGGAGGCAGGAAAAAAAGGAAGGGAAAAGAGAGACGGGAAAACAGAGAAAGGGAAGGGGGGGGGGAAAGAGGGAAGTGTTACAATATTTCTGTTCCCCAAGAAACCAGCACACGACAAACACCAAAAATATAGGTAGACATCTGCATTATTGTGTTAACTTAATAGACACATAGTGCCATGTATACTCTTGTGTGAAAGCTCTCAAAGAGATGAAGCTGGAGGTGATGAGCATACTAAAATTTAGTAAAAGTCAATCTCTGGGGGCAAAATTTAAAATTTTCATGGTTGCCCAGATTGTTCCTTAGGAGATCAGTCACTATTGGTTTCCTGTCAATTTTCTTGCTTACTTTCATGGTAGGTCTACCAGCCCTGAAATGGTCTCATAAATTACTTTATAAATGTGGAGATCATTAGTTGGATATGGTCTAGTCTACCCTATCAATCAATTTCTTATAAAAATACATGTTTTCTTTATACTTTGGCCACAGTCCATCCATTTAAATCCTCCTGACTCCTAATGACACCAGTAGATGGATTTCTAATCCATTGTAATCACTGAGACATCAAAAGTGCCTTTGGTGAGATCACGCTTTGGTTCTATGCATTTTAAGCATTTCTTTCTATCCATTGTAGTCTTGTTTTCCTCACAATTAAAACTGATGGCTTCCAAGTGTTAAAAACAAAAGATACATAACACTTAAAAATTAAAGGCAACAAATGTTAATTTCTTCTTAAATGGTCAATTATTTAGATATATGTAGTGGAAAGTGCCATCAAGTCACAGCTGAACTTTGGCGACCCCCGTAGGGTTCTCAAGGAAAGAGACAAACAGAGCCGGTTTGCCATCGCCTGCTTCTGCACAACAACTCTGGATTTCCTTGGTGGTCTCCCGTCCAAGTACTAACCAGTGTTGAGTCTGCTTAGCTTCTGAGATCTGATGAGATCAGGCTAGGGTGGGCCATCCACATTTTAAAAAAATTTAAGGAGTCTTGACTAAGTAAGTGGGTTTTGACTTGCTTCTGGCAGGTTGATTGGTAGAATCCTATGCACACTGACGTGGGAGAAAACCCCATTGGACCATCAGCGGCTTACTTCTGAGTAAACATGCAGAGGATTGCACAGCTAGAACCCTATCTGCATACAATTGGAAGTAAGTATGATAAATGAGCCTTGCTGCCGAGTAAAAATGTGGTCAGGGCAGGGGTGGAAGAGGATCAAACCTCTCTGGGCTTCCTCAAGAAAAGAAATGCCCCATTTGCAAGTAAAAGGACAAAGAAAAGTCCCAATATAGTCAATGGGGCTATGAACCATGAATGCCTTCTCCACCTTCCACCAGCATCCCCCCCAAAGACCTGTAAAAGGCTGGTGGCTGAAGATCGAGGGAAACCTGTAGATAAAGTGTCATGTGGCATGGTGGGTTGCAGTGAGGAAGGAGAATCAGGTGAACTTGCCCCCCCTCCCTTTCTCCATTCGCACAAGAGGGTGGACACGGGATTTTACTTCATTCCCCTTCTTCACTGTTGGCCTCCATGCCATGTGGCATTTTAACCATGAGGCTTCCTTGACCCTTGCCATCATTTGGGGGGAGGGAATCGTTGCAGGTTGTGGTCAAGAAGGCAGGAAAACACGTGTCTCCAAAAGTGCCTTCCTCTTGTAGTTAGGCTGAAAGTCCTGTTGAAATCGATTGGACAAGTTAGTTGTAAGTAAAGTCCAATGATTTGAATGGGATACAAATGTGACTAACATGTTGGACTGAGGCCAAAATCTGCATGGATCTTGTTTGCAAAAATCCTGGCCAGGACGCACATATGGCATGCAGACAGACAAGAGCAAAACACAGAAAAAGAAGGCCAAAGGAGGGGTATACAGGGCAGATTCAGACAACCATCCTCAACCCTGCAATAATCTTCTGAGAAAGTTGGTCAAGAGATCTTTTATGTGTAGGTTGCCTTCAGGTAACCCAATTCCACTTGACTTTGCATGCATAACATTTGCCCAGGTCAGTGTACCATGGCAGGGAAAAACACTTGTCTGAATCCTCCTTCTGAAAAGGAGCAGAGAGGAAAAAGAATCCTAGACAACTACTGGGGCAGAAGGAATGTGGTTGTCTTTTCTGTAGAGCATTATGGGTAGCAGGAGTATCTACCCCTAGTTTCAACATCTCTTCTTGCTTGAGACCCAAGTGGAGCCTTATCTGCTGCTGGATTCCAAACAATTCTGACAATAAATTAAGAGTCTCTTGTGCTACGGAACGTATGGAAGAAGGGAAGCAGCTTTAAACTGAAAGGGGTATTCTGGTTTTGATTACTTAGGAATCCTAGTCATTTACATACATGCATGCACACACGCATTGATCCTTGTGACCAAAATGCTGTACAAAGTACTTCTCTTGCTCCTCTTCTCATGGTCTTCCAAGCCCTGCAGCATCACAGAGGCTATTGGTGGTAGGGATGGGCATAAACCAGCTCATGAGCCAAAATCTGGCACAAACTCGGGCTGCTTTGGAGCCCTCAAACTGATGTTCGTGGAAATCGCATTCCCAAAACATATACTGGACTTTTGTCCAGTTCAGTTCGGCTGTTTAGGCCCTAATAGCTGAGTGGTTTGGGGCCTGCCCGTCAGCTGCTACGTTGAAATGACTGCGAGCCATTTCAACAGTTGGTTTTGCTTCCCCCACTTCAAAGCGAGGAGAGCGAAATGGACCGGTGAAATAGCTGCCAGCCATTTCAGGCGTAACAGCTGATGGGTGGACCTGCCCTGCTGTTAGGTTGAAATGGCTGTGAGCTGTTTCAGTGGTCCATTTTGCTTCCCCTTGGCTTCGAGCGAAATGGACTGGTGAAATGACTGCCAGCCATTTCAGCCTATGAAAAGGTGGAAACTCTCCCAAAAAGTTTTTAAGACAAGTAATGATACTCATAGGAATATATTAAATATATTGAATATGTAAACACATATTCCTATGAGTATCATTACTTGTCTTAAAAACGTTTTGGGAGAGTTTCCACCTTTTCATTTCTAGATTCACACTCTCCCTTCCCAGTTAGTTTTGAGCCATTTCAGCCTAACAGCTGATGGGTGGACCCACCCCCTTCTTAGGCTGAAATGGATGGCAGCCATTTCAGCATAACAGTAGAGTGGGTCCACCCGTCAGCTGTTAGGTTTAGATGGCTGTGAGCCATTAAACCTGTTGGTTTCCCTCCCCCCGCTTCACTCTCCCCACTTCCCAGGCGATCCCCCCCTTTCCTGGCCGTGGCAAGCCATGACCAGGAGAAAGGGGGAACTGAACTCGCTGGTTTGGTTTGGGGCCTTTTGGCTCAGTTTGGGGGCTGCCCTGAGCCCCAAACTGTTTTTTTTATGTTTGTGCCCATCCCTAACCCCTCCCTAAGGGGGCGGGGGGGGGGCGGATGGAGGGCAGGAGGCTAGTAGTATCCCCTGCCTGACTTTCTGGAAATGCATACACTGTGAGTGGAAAGGGCTCCTTGGTAGCTTTGGGGCAGCAAGCTTTTAGTGGCTTCCAGATATACCTAAAACACCTCTGTACTGCCTTATCAATGAAAATACAGTCTGAACACATCTAATTAAACAGCCACCAAGGGGATAAAAGTTCTACAGGACTGAATCATTTCAGATGGCAGCTTGGGGGGGAAACCACTACACGTAGAAAACTATTATGCTAAGGAGAAAACTAGGCTAGAATCCTTCTGCCTGAGAAGCAGGTTTTGACATGCAGTCCAAAGTAGCTCTCCCGCCTCATCTGCTGCCTGTATGGTCCAGGTTTTGACAGAGGTTCCTAATTCTGTCATTCCTGGCAACCTCCTTAAGGCCAGAAGGAAAGGTCCGTGCTTCCCTAAGAGGCAATGAAACTAAATACAGCTGGTGGGCTCAGTTGCTGCCTTGGCATTGGACCAAGCCAGCTAATGACAAAGAAAAGAGCCCAGGCTGAGCTTGGTAAGCACCTTGAGGACATGTTTTAAATAGGGGCATTGCACTTGAGGCTGGAGGAAATTCCTCTGGGCGAAGGAGCCTTTCTCCAACAGAAGTAGCTCTTCTGTGGGAGGAAGTCTCCGTAGGCTAGAGGAAGGCTTCAAACTTTATTTAGCGGAGTGGCAGATTAAGGCCAATGGCTCCAAGGAAGCAAACTAAAATCCTGCAACAAGTAGGGAATTGCTGTACTGGCTAGCATTAATTCATATGTATAGGAAGACATAAAACTCCCTGTGGTACCCTGATAAAACATGCCAAGTTCCCACATCCTATGTCACAAATCAGAGTTTGGTGTAGTCATGGGCCAGGGAGGAATATGGCCTTCCCTGGGGAACTGGCAGTTCCCTCCTAAGGAAGAGCTTTGGTCCTCAGCAGTAGCTTCAGGGCACCACAACATGGCATAAGTAACACAGTGCTGCCCCCGAAATAGCAGCTATGTGTCAAATTCCCACCTCTCTGGCTTAATGTGCTATTTCTCATGTCCAGATGTCATCATATCACATACTTCCTCATCAGTGCTCTGTCTTCCCAAATCACCCTTCCCCTCAGGCCTGTAGCCACAGTGGGGCACTTGGGGGTGGAGTCCCACCAGGGATGAGCCCTGCCCCACCCCCACTGTGCCGTGCTCCTTACCCCTGCTCCTCCATCGCCTCACTGGCTCTTCCAGGGGAGCTGCCCTGCAGCTTCTGGTTAGTTTCACTCCCACTGATGAGCTGTTAGGTGTAACAACTGATCTGCAGGAGTGAAACTGACCAGACACGGCAGGGCGGGGCTGCTGCAGGGGAGGGGGGCTTGGAAAGGAAAGAGAAGGCATGCCTTCCCTCTCCCTCTTTCTTTCCTAGAGGTTTAACAGCTGATCAGAGGGGGGTGAAACTGACCAGAAGCGGCAGGGCAGCTTTGGAAGGGAAGGGGAGGCCCCTAAGCAATCTTCCCTGGGAACTAATCTAATCTAATTAGTAATCTAATTAGGTTCCCCACTCCCCTGCCCCTCCAACCAAAATTGTCTTCCTATG